TTATTTATTTATTTGAGAGAGAGAGAATGAGAGAGAGCACATGAGAGGGGGGAGGGTCAGAGGGAGAAGCAGACTCCCTGCTGAGCAGGGAGCCCAATGCGGGACTCGATCCAGGGACTCCAGGATCATGACCTGAGCCGAAGGCAGTCGCTTAACCAACTGAGCCACCCAGGCACCCTCAGCTAAGCTTCTGACTCTTGGTTTCAGCTCAGGTCCTGATCACCGGGTCACTGGTTCTGTGCTCAGCATGGAGTCTGCTCAAGATTCTCTCTCCCTCTGCTCTCCCTCCCCTGCACACATGTGTGTGCACACTCTCTCTCTCTCTCAAATAAATAAATCTTTTTTTAAAAAGATTTTATTTATTTATTTGAGAGAGAGAGAAAGTGAGAGCATGAGTAGGGCAGAGGGAGAAGGAGAAGCAGACTCCCTGCCAAGCAGGCAGCCCAATGTGGGGCTCGATCCTAGGACCCTGGGATCATGACCTGAGCCAAAGGCAGACACTCAACTGACTGAGCCCCCCAGGCACTCCAATAAATAAGTCTTTTTTAAAAAAGGCAAGAATGATACAGAAGAAGACCCAAAGATAATTGTTCCCCACTTTAGGGATAGCTGCAGGCGGATAGCTCCTGGTCCCACCCAAGGGCCAGCCCTCCCAGGCTCAGGCCATTCCCAGGTGTGGGGATGTGGCTGGGGAGCACAAGCCTCTCTCTCTCTTTAGGGATCTTTAGGAAATTGCAGATCTTTAGGGAACGCAGAGTGGAATTAAGTAGAGTTGTCCTCCTACTTCATCCCCGATATACCTTCCCCAACTAGTTAAATGAAGTATGATATCCTTACAATCCTATGTAGCTATAAAGATGCTTCTTTATATACCAATATGGAAAGATCTCTTATTAACTGATGAAAGCAAGATGTAGAGCAGAGTGTATGCACTGCCACTTGAATAAATTCTGTGGGAAAACGTAATTATAGATTTGCTTGATTACACATAAAAGACCTCTGAAAAGGGCCCCTTCATTTGCCTCTAGATGGGAGGAGTACTAGGAGGCTGGGGACAGGCTGGGAGGGAACCCTATTTTATACGCTTTTTAAAGCTTTTTGAATTTTGAAGCATGGGAATGTGTTCTCTATTTGATCATTAAATTTTTAAAATAAAAATATACAAAACAACTAAAAAACAAAAACCTTTCCCACACATTATGACCGCACTGCCTGAAATTCTGCCACAGCAGATTCCTGAGGGCTCACAGGCAGCATCCCTGGGAGGGTTTTGATGAGTGAGACTGTGAGCCATTCACACTTTGGGGTGGATTAGCTCAATCAGATAGCTTTTCTAACACCTAGCCATAGAAACAAGGGTTCTCGCCAAACAGGGGAAGGAGTGTGGAAATGTTGAGCCATGGGGCACTTCTGGGGAGGAAATCTGGGATGAGGGTGCCACAAAAGGGGACCGTGACATCGGCCAGGGCCTGAGGAGACAAAGAATTCTGAGACGTTAGAGAAGAGCACCAAAAGGGATGTGGTAGGGTGACGAGGCCAGGAGAAATGTCCCTTCTAAATCTGGTTCACAGCGCACTGCAGGTCGCACACAGCTGTCCCCCCACCCTCGTGAGGTCTCCCCGCCACACACACACCCTTCCATCGGTCTGCCCCTTCCTTGCGTGGCCTGGGGTGGGAGCAGGGGGCCTGGGGGCTGGAGAGCAAAGACCAGGGCTTCTTGGGAAGGCTGGACTGTTCACCTGAGCAAGGGAAACTTTTTGTGCTTTGTGTTCCCATCTGGGGACAAGTAAGAGGAAATTGTGATGGAGAGAAAGGACAGATCGGGCATGTGCCCAGAAGCAATTTCCAAGAGGGTAGGTGGGGGAAGGCTGAGCGCACCTCTCTCTCATATTCTTCTTGCTCCTCTTTCAGCGTCACCTCGATGAACACCTGTTGCAGCTTCTCGTTGCAATAGTTGATCACAAACTGCTCAAAGCTATTATCCTGAGGGAGGGGACCCGGGGCAGAGAAGGGGCAGCTCAGCCCAAATCTCTTCCTGCCTCTCAGCCGTACACCTTCCCTCTCCCAACCCGCCCCCCTACCGCCTTTGATCCTACGTGCCCCAACCCTAGGGAAGCAGGGTGCTGCAGGTGGATGAAGCTCTCACCTCTAGAATTTCAAAGCCGTAGATATCCAGGACCCCCATTACCTTCTTCTTCTCCCCAGTGCCCACCTGAAGAGGAGGAAAAGATAAATCTGAGGACGGGCCTCCTCTGCATACCAGGCCAGGCCCTTCTCGGGTGGAGGTGACCGGAGCAGAGGGCAAACAGAACTCTGGTGAGCTTGACCATGCTGGGAAAGAACTGTCGTGAACTCCTTCCTCCTCTACATGCTAGAGGACAAGCAGAGGGAGGGAGGGAGAAGGGAGATGCGAACAGATTCCAGGCTGGTGCTCCGATGGAACGAGGTAGGAAGACATTAAGATCCTCTCAGGAAAATAATCATCTCTTAGATTTGTAGAGCATTTTACAAAAAATTCTACGCTCTTACTTCATTAAGCCTCACAATAACCCTAGAAGGTGTGATTATTCCCATTTTACAGATGAACAAATCAAATTTCAAAAGGGCTAAGCACTTATCCAAACCTAGATTCAAATCCTATTTTCCCCTGCTGCCTTTCAGTAATAGCTTCTGAATTGATGGCATTTTCATGTACAAAAATTTTGAACAATAGCTCCATTTTGATCTAACTCACATTCCATAAAATTTACCCTTTAAAGGTGTACGATTCAGTGGGTTTTTCCAGTATATTCAAAAGGTGTATGACTATCACCACTACCTAATTCCAGAGCATTTTCATCATCCCCAAAAGAAATCTTGTACCCATACCCATTAGCAGACACTCCCCCTACCCCTCCCCCGACCCCAAGCCCCTGTTAACCATTAATCTACTTCCCATCTCCATGGATTTGCCTATTCCGGACATTTCATATAAATGGAATCATACAAAATGTGGCCTTTTGTGTCTGGCTTCTTCCACTTGAATGTTTTCAAGATTTGTCCAAGCTGAGCATGAATCGGTACTTCGTTCCCTCTTATGGCCAAATAGTACCCCATTGTATGAATATACCACATTTTGTTTATCCTTTCACCAACTGATGGACATTTGAGTCGTTTCCACTTTTTGGCTAGTATGAATAATGTCTCTCTGAACTTTTGGGTACAGGTTTTTATGTGGACATCTGTTTTCAAATCTCTTGGATATGTATCTGGGAGTGGAATTTCTGGTTATATGGTAACCATGTACGTAATTTTATCCAATCCTCACTAAGCCCTGTGAAGCAGGTAAGCATGAATGTCCAATTTTCCAAATCAGGAAACTGAGGCTCAGAATCTCTGTGAAATGAAAAGGCCACACAGCTGGTAAGTAGGGGATCCAGAGAGTCAAACTCAAAAACCAGAGATGTTTCCACAACAACACACTATTGGAAGGAACTGAACCCTACCCTTCATCCTTCTTCCTCTGCTCATCTCAGAACCCAAAATACGGGGATGGTGACCAGGGCAAGAAAGGTGATGCAGACAGGAGAGAGTTGGGGGAGGAGAGCCATCTCTCACCTTGATACTCTCATTGATTCGATTCACTATCCAGTTGAAAAGGCGGTTGTAGATGTTCTTGGCCAGAGCATCGCGAGCATACTGAGCCTGTAGGGCAGGGCCAGCTGGTTAGGATGGCAGCCACAGAAGAGTCCCCAAGTCAGCCTCCTCCCATAGGGCCTTTACCTGAATGACATTCAGTGCAGTGACCACCTTTTCTTTGGCTGTTTTCATGGTCCTTGAGCACAAAGCTTTCTCTAGTTCCTCTGAATTCAAACCTATCATTTCCCCAATCTCCTGAATACCTGGAGTGAGGAGGAAACACAACATGGCCTGAAAGAGGGCTTTCCTCCTGGGGAGGGAGGGCTGAGAAGTGACACTGCTAGGAGATGGGTGTCCCTGGGTCTTGCTGGGGATGTCCTTACAGCCCATCCAGGACATGGCCCAGGAGGAATCTCTTGGGGGGGAGGAGGAGGAGAGAGGGAGCTCTGGACACTTTGAATGCATTATCTACTTTAATAGGAGAATCTCCTGAAATTCTTTGTAAAGACTCCACTGAGATTCAGAGAAGTCCCAGAATCTAGGTCTATCAAACTTCATAACCTCATTCCAAAATGTCTCACTGGGAATTCTCCATGGGTGTGTTTGGGGAAGAACTCGGGAATGGGCTGAGTAGGACTGAATCAGAGTGGAGTCAGTTACGCAGGAGATGGTGGAAGAACAGGAATTGTAGTAGGAGACTGGGGAGCAGCTTGGGGGCACCAACAGGGCGGTGCAGACCTCTCCCATCCCGGATGCCACTTGCTGATATCCCATTGGCCTGGAACTCGTCTGCCAGCTCCACGTTCCCCAGCTTCAGCACGAGGGCCGTCACCTCGAGCACCTGTTGAATCTCCTCCTCCGAGAAACCAATCACAGTCATTGCACTCTTGAGGAGAGAGCAGAAATCAGAAGCTGAACAGTGGTGCTAGTTCAAAGCCTCCCTTCTCAAAGCCAAAGCCTGGGCTCAAACGATGACCTAAGGGCCCACCCTGGGCACCCACCTGTACAGCCTTGAAGTTGGAGGCGTCGTCCATGCCGTCAACTCTGGACACTTTCTGGTTTAGGAAGGCATAGCCACTTGCGTCCCGCTCAAGCTTCAGGGCCTCTGGGAGGGCCAGTGTGAGGGAAGAGGTTTAGTACGCAGGCTCTCACGAGTCTTCTGGCCTTGACTCTCACAGCCCCTGCCCCAGCTTGGTTTACTCATTAATTCAAAGGAGCCATTTTTGTTTTAGGCTCTTCCCCTGCCTCCTTTGTTTGGGGATCATGAATTCCCATGATGATAGACTAAATTTTTAAGCAGTATTTAGGGTTTTGGTGTTCTTTTTTTTTTTTAAAGATTTTATTTATTTATTTAATTGACACAGAGAGAGAAAGAAACAGCGAGAGAGGGAACACAAGCAGGGGGAGTGGGAGAGGGAGAAGCAGGCTTCCCGCTGAGCAGGGAGCCCGACGTGGGGCTCGATCCCAGGACCCTGGGATCATGACCTGAGTCGAAGGCAGTCGCTTAACCAACTGAGCCACCCAGGCGCCCCGGGTTTGGGTGTTCTTAATTGTTGGGTTTCTTTCCAACTCTTATGAAAGAAAAATCTCATTCCACTCCTCGTCCCACCCTCAGGGTTCTAAACAATGAAAACAAACAAGCAAACTATCTGTCCTGCTCAGTTCTCAGTGGCTCTGAGAGGACAAAGGTGAGGAAAGAAGGGCGAGCACATATCTCCCACCCACCCTGAGCCTCAACACCTCACCCTTGGCCAGGGTTGGCCCATTCATTGTTTGTTCACTAAGTACCAACAAAGTGGCAGGTGCTATGTTCCCCAACCCTGACCCCTCTTCTGAAAGCTTTTCTCTGACGTTGTGCGGCTGAGCCAAAAGGCTCTCCTGTGTTCCCCCCATGGTGAATCTCTATCCCAGCCCATAACACACGGGCTAGGTTTTGTTTTTTTCTGTCTCTCCCACAAATGAACAACTCGTGTGTTGGGACTATGTTTTTCATCTTCATATCCTGTGTGCCTGGCTGGCATATAAAAACTTTTTTTCTTTTTAATAAATGAATCAAGAGAATGGTTGAAGCTGTTCACCTGAGATGGGAAGGAGTAGGTTAAGCATGGAGCTTGAGGGATATCAATGATCTGTTATTCACATGATCTGATAATCAGGGAATGGCCCTCAAACTAGAGTGTAATGGCAGCTTCCCCTGAAATACAAATTTTGAAACAGGAACCTGCTAAAGAGGGGTGTCTGGACAAAGAATGAGTCAGAAAGGCCCTGGGGTGATGACACCAGGGAGGCCTTGCTCAGACTTAGCTTAAATCAATGGGTGACAGAATCAACCAGAACAATATACTAGTGCCTATGATTCAGACAAACTGAGAACAACCAAGACTACTGAGCCAGGAAGGAATAATGAGAGTTGCAGGGGCTCTTGAACCATGGAGATCCCCAGGAGGGGAAAGGAAAGGGGCACAAGTCCAGTGGAAAACAACCAGAAACCAAAAGGACAGGTCCTTGGGGGCCAGATACCCACAGTGCTCACAGCTAGAGGCAGGATTGGGAGGCAAACTCTGGCAAGGCCTGAAGTCACACCAGACTCCACAGTGATGCCCACCCAGAGCCACCTCGGGCCCACTTCAGGGCTCTCCGGGACAAGGCAGAGTGCTCCATGACTTTGCTCCTACAGCCACTGGCACAGGCCTGTTGGCACCAATCACACTGTATTTTGCAGTGTTTCCATTCACGTATCTGCCATCCCTAGAAGACCATAAGTTCTCCAGGACAGGGTCCATGTCATCTTACTCAACTCTGCATCGCTAGAGGCCAGCACAATGTTCGATCATAGTAGGTGTTCAAGAGATGTTTGATGAATGAATAAATGGAACCTCCATAAAACCATCTAAGAAAAGTGAATCAAGGACAGGGCCTGGGTGAGGCAGATGTAGACCCAGAACAACTTCAACTACTGCTCATCAAACATTCTTGAACACTTAGAATATCCTGTTGGATTTTCTGCTGAGCTATCGATAAAGTCCCTTAAATTGAAGATAGGAAAGAATGATAGATGGAAATAAGTGTTCCATTTTTGAAGCTAGCCTGGGGAAGGAGGAACCCAAGCAGGACAGAGCAATAAGAGCAGGTCAAGAGGCCAGAAGATTTATTCCTAGCAATACAATCCCAGAAAAAGAAGAGAACACAGAGGTTGGGGAATTGTTCCCAACAATGAGTGGATGAGATTCAGAGTGAGAAATGCAGAAAGAAGAAGCCTGAGGGCTACAGGGGCCCAGAGGAGACTGAATGGAGGTTGGGGATCTTCTGCCATGTGTCTGGGACAGGCACATACTCAGCAGGTGGGCTTCTGCACCGGCCAGCAACTGATAGAAGATGTGGAAGTTCCTTTCTCCTTCAAGCTGCTTCACCACTCGGGATTTCTCCAGCAGATCTGGCAGGGAATTAGAAAATAACATCCTGAGGGGCAGGGAGACACCAAAGCTTCCCTCTAAGTCTGCTCCCAGGGCTTGGGCAGTCTCCTGGTAGTCTACTATTCCTTCCTATGGTAGTAAATCAGCAGAAAGGGACACCGTGGGGCAGGAAGGAGGGAGAGGTGGTGAGCAGAATGGGGAGACACTTTCGGGGTGCCTGGGTGTCTCAGTCAGGTTAAGCGGCTGCCTTTGACTCAGGTCATGATCCCAGGGTCCTGGGATCAAGACCCTGCGTTGGGCTCCCTGCTCAGCAGAGAATCTACTTCTCCCTCTCCCTCTGCCCCTCCCCCCTGCTTGTGCACATGCGCTCTCTCTCTCTCAAATAAGTAAATAAAATCTTAAAAAAAGAAAAAACAAAGAATGGGGAGACACATACAGTTTGTGATGACGCCACCGAGGGGGGACCCCTTGAAGTCGAACTCAATGTCCATGTATTTTCCCTTCAGAGACCAGAGGGAGAGAGAGAGAGAGAGACTTTGCTTCCTCCTCTTCTCACCACCCTGCCCAGCAAGGGTCTGTGCCCCATTCCTCCTTCTCAAGCCCCCACACCCTCTCCTCCTAGGCCAGGGAGATGGTCACTCACAAATCGAGAGGAGTTGTTGTTGCGGATGGTCTTGGCATTGCCAAAAGCTGCAGAGATGGGGAGAGGGGAGGTGAGGAGACTGAGGGGAGAAGAGGGGCTCTGGAGAAGGGGAAGGAGGAAGGTCTTCCAGCCATCATGCCAATCTCAGATTTTTCAGGCTGAACGAAAACAGGGTAAGAGGGTGTAGGGCTGAGTGTCTCTGGGGCCAGTCGGGTGGGGTGGGGTTGCAGAGGAGGTAGAGACTGGAATCCTCACCCTCCAGCACTGGGTTTGACTGAAGCAGCTGCTCCTTCACAGAGTTCACCTGCTCTCCTTTCCCACAGACAGCGGCCACATAAGACATCACCAGCTTACTAGCCTCTGTGTAAGAGAAACCATCACGTGGATCCCTCCGCCCTTAACTCCCCTTAAGTCCAGCACCTCCCATCCCTCAGAAGCAGAAAAACCGGGGAGAAATTTCTGGGGTGGGGGCAGGACCAGCCTGGCTTGGAAAGAGAGGAGGGGGTGGCTCCAGCAGTGACCCCACGGCCCCCCCCAGCAGGTGCCTCACCAGTCTTGCCGGCTCCGCTCTCGCCCGTTATGAGGATGCACTGGTCTCGGTCTCGGTCCCTTAGTGACTGGTACGCCATGTTTGCCAAAGCATAGCTTGGAGGGGAGGAAGCAGGTGATGACTAAGGTGGGGCTAATCCAAGACATCATCTTTCACTCCATCTCCGGCCCCCAGAGTCATCTGCCCTCCTTGGACTAGACTGAGGCAAGTGGTAGGTCTAGGAAGGGGCTTCCTGGGGCCAGGGGTGGGGGGGTGGAACCTGGAGAGCCTCCTTTAGGAGAAAGGATAGAGGAAATTAGGGTGTCTGGCTGTCAGGAAGTGGGGGCCCTGTCAGCCTTCCCTCAGTCCCTTTACTTACATATGGGGCTTCAGCTCATAGAAGGTATAGTCCCGGTATTTGGCAATGAACTCCGGGCCATAGATGGGCAGCTGTTGGTAGGGATTCACGGAGATCAACACATTCCCAATGTAGGTCTGGAGGCAAAAAAGGTAAAGAGAATGAGCAGGGGTGGGGGTAGGGGATGCTGGGAGGGGGAGGAAGGAGTGGGAGCACAGGACCTCTCTGGCCACACACCCACAGCCAGGGGCACCCGTATGCACTCACATAAATCTCCTTCTTCTCATAGCGCAGCTCGAGGGTCTTGAGAAGAGCCTCCTGCTCCAAGGGTTCCAGGAGCACCAGGTCCTCCAACCCCACGGCACCTTCCAGAAGAGTCATGTCCAGAGGAGCTACTGGTCCTGGGAATAAGGGGTCAGTTGGCTGGCTGAAGTCTGCTCAGCTTCAGGGGTCAGTAACTGTGTGAGGGGAAGAGGGCAGAAGGATCTAAGAGAGCCTTCCCCTCCAACTCCTGGCCCTAGAGATGGTCCTCAACCCAGGGAGTCCTCTGGACTAGCCAAAGCTAACTGCAGGAAGCTGTGGGAACTCTCCCTGAGTGGGGAGGATCCCCTGCTTCTGGGGTTAGGGCTGGTGGGGGTGGGGCAGAACCACCTGCCTTTGACCAGGGTAAGGAAGGCACCCAGCAGGCAGTGACCGGGGGGGGGGGGTTGGGGAGCACAGTTGTGTTTGCAGGAGAGCAGCCTGGGGAAGAAAGGGTAAGTTCTGGAGGCTCACTCCCTCCCGCACCGAGGTCCTGGCCAGGGTCCAGACTCCCTGACCTTCTCCCCCAGTTCTCCTTCTCAGCTCCTACCTCTCGCAACCTCTAGTTAAGTCACCGGGCCCACCCACACCCAGCATGAACGTTCTTCCGAAGGTCCCTCTCATTGCCACAGTGAGATTCATCGTCTAAAGGGGGGCTGGATGAGGTGATTGATGAGTTAGAGGACAGAGGCAGGAGCTCCTCCATAAAAGATTAGAATACCCCAAATAAAAGTGAGGTTGGTTTCTGCCACATCAAGTAGCTGTCACGATCTCTGGAGGTGCCTACACATCTGTCCCTATTTTTCCATCTCCAGCTTTTACACCCATTGCTGTAACCTTCCGGCACGGACTTTGCCTCAGAGGGACACACCCAGCTTTTTAGTAGCTGGTGGGAGTGGGCAAGGAGGAGCAGAATTATTGTGGGGCTCAGCCCCATGCAGTGGGCACATGGCAGGTGCAACCTCAGGAGGAAGCCCAGCCCTCCTCAGTCTTTCCTGTGGGACCGAGTAGGTGGGGTGGCCTGGTGCGGAACAGAATCATTAGTACAATGGTCAGGGCTACTCCCTAAAAGGAATAAAAAAGCCACATCTCCTAGTCTCCGGCAATGCTCAACCTGGGTGGGGGAGGGGAGGGAAGCAGAGATGGAAGTTTGGGCCAGAGGGGAACATAGGCTGACTTCAGCCTTCACTCTGCTTTCCCCACGTTTCAGAAAATGAGAGCGCTCGTCACTTCCTGGAAGGACACAACTGAGAGAGCAGTAAGAATAGTGACACTAGCAATCTCTAACAGTCAGGTACCACGGGCCACGCAGGGCTCCAAACACTATATACACGAAATCATTTGATGCTTACAAACAATATCCTCATGAAGTACGTACTATTATTATCTCCATTTTCCAGATTAAAAAAACTAAAGTTTTTAAGTGACTTGGCAGGCAGGGGTGAGCAGCAGAAGCAGGGCTGGAGAAAGGCATATTCTTCGGATTTGGATTTGAGGGGAGTGGGAATGTGACAGGTCGGGGGGTGGGAGAGGGAAAAAGGAAGCACTCCCCAGATAGGGCACCCCTGGATGTGCAGAGCAGTGATAGGTCAAGGCAAGACTCACCCAACACTGGAACTAGGGTGTACTTCAGTGTCCCTTGGAGAATAGTGAATGAAATCCCAATTTGACAGGAAGGGGGCATAGGAGTCCCAAGGCCCGAAGGGTGGAGAGGTGTCTTCGTTAACGGGAGCTGTCCATGGTGTCTGAGGGGCCAGGAAAGAGGTTGCCCTCCTCTTGCCAGTGTCCACTCTTCTGACCTTCCACTGTGCTGCCTCCTCTAGCCAAGGCTCCCTGTGCCAGTCAAGCCAGGAGAGGCCAGAGACGGCAGCTCAGCACAAAGTCCGAGGCTGTTCCTGCTGAGGGTGTGGCTCGATTAACCCTTCCCAGGCTGGATGCCCCAGAGGGAGATGCTCAGTCATATGAGAAAGCCCCCTCTAGGTAGGAAAGGGTATCTGGCTGGGCTTAGCTGAGGGGCTCAGGTAGAGTTCTTGCTCCACTGCCCCCCAAATTTGGAAATAAGAGCAGGAGTGGAATTAATAGCCAAGGAAAAGCTTTTCTAAAAAGTCAGGAATTTTTGCCAAAGAGGAAGGCAGGCTGGGATGTCTTCCCTAGCAAAGAAACAGTACTTCCCTCAAACCTACCTATCTCATTGGGAGTCAGAGGGTATCAATGATATTACTTGGGGAGCTAGGCAGACAAAATCCCCAAATTCCCTCCCCCCCCATGGGTCAGCCCCACAAACAGACCCGAAGGCTCTAGTTAGTAATACCACCTGGCATTTGTATGGATGCCAGTTTCATGGACTCCCACCTGTCTCATCTCACTGAATCACACCATCCTGTGAGCTAAGCAGTGCAGCTACTCACTGCATTGAAAAGGAAAATTAGAGGCAAATACTGAGGTTCCACAGACAATACATGGCAGAACCAGGAACAGAATGTAGCTTCCTGACCCTAAGTCTCCCATAGGTCTCAGCCCAAGTCTTGGTATTTCTGGTTTTCATCCTTCTGGGCGAGGAACCTGAATGAGACCCTGAGATGCTGCTTCCTGGGCACCAGCCCAGCTGAAAATAATCACCCCCAATAGATAAGAGGCTTATGCAATCCTGTTTTCCAGGATACCCCCTCATCCACCCAGGAAAATTCCTGAACAACAGGCTCCCTCTGCCCACCATCCTCTCTCCCAGGCACGCACAAAGAGCACACTTAGCTGAAGACAGACTCCATCCTCTAACTCCCAGCCACAGCTGCTCGGTTCAAGGTCCAAACTCTACTGCTCTCACAGAAGCACTCTGCATACGCCTGGCCCATCAGCAATTCCATTATCAACCTGCCTTTACATGATTTATTGATCTACTATATATATATCCGAAGGGAGAGAAAAAGGCAAGGGAAAGAGAGAGCAAGCAAGCCAAGCGGAAGTGCCATCAGCACACAATCCCAGATATACACAGAAGCAGCATCTGGATCAGAGGCAGAAAGGACCACAGATCCTGTCTTTTGTGTGGAGGAAACAGACCTAGGGTGAGAAGCCACCTTCCCATGGTGTGATCCTGGGAACCCAGGTCTGGAACCCAGGTCTCCTGTTCTCCAGGCCAGGAATCTGCAGCCACCCACAGTGTGGGGTTTATCTGTGTGTCGACCCACTCACTCGTTTTCTGAGTGTCTCCTATGTGCTCACACGAGAGAAGGGATTCTAAAATGAGATGGCATCCTCAGGCGAGACACAATGGAATCAACATCACAGCTGGGGTGACCCACCATCCTAGTTTGTCTGGGACCTAGGATGAGTCCTCTGAACGTGGGAACTTGACTACTAAAACTAGGAAGGTTCTGGCCACACTGGGATGAATGGGTCACTCTAAATTAATGAGGTACAAATACACATCCAAGTCCGTGGCGATTTCAAGATCTGTCAAAGCATTCCAGGGATGAGAGGAGGCCTGGGGGATGCAGGACTGGGATCTGATCCCAGGCAAAACTCAAGTAACTGGAGCTGACTGGTCTTCCTCCATCATGACTCTGAAATCCCCTTCCTCTTCTCCCCATTAACATTTCTAGTCTGTATAAGGGGCATGAGGGAACTTTGGGGGTGATGGAAAAGCTCTAGATCATGACTGCAGGAGTGGTTACACAACTGTCAATTAACTCTTTTTGTCAAAACTCAGCAAAACTTAAAACAAATATTGTGCCCCAAGTATATTCATTTTAAAAAGATGCTACACAATAAAAACACAGAAGTTTTCAGATATGGTGAAGATGTTTGGTGGTAGAGGGTCTTCTTGACTCTCACAAATTATTTGGTGTCAACTAGTAACATTGATCAAATACTTACTATGTGCCAGGCAACAAGCTAAGTGTTTTACATCCTTGCTATTCAAAGTGAGGTCCACACCCCATATCTGAATCACCTGGGAGTTCATTAGAAATCCAGAATCTTGGGGCGCCTGGGTGGCTCAGTCGTTAAGCGTCTGCCTTCAGCTCAGGTCGTGACCCCAGGGTCCTGGGATCAAGCCCCACATCGGGCTCCCTGCTCAGCGGGAAGCCTGCTTCTCCCTCTCCCCCTCCCACTGCTTGTGTTCCCTCTCTCGCTGTGTCTCTCTCTGCAAATAAATAAATCTTAAAAAAAAAATGCAGAATCTTGGGCCTCAACCCAGACTTATTGTATCAGAAGTCTGAATTATTTTTTTTTTTAAAGATTTTATTTATTTGAGAGAGAGACAGAGAGAGCACAAGCAGGAAGAAAGGCAGAGGGAGAGGGAGCAGACTCCCCGCTGAGCAGGGAGCCCGATATGGGGCTGGATCCCAGGACCTGGAGATTGTGACCTGAGCCGAAGGCAGACGCTTAACCATCTGAGCCACCCAGGTGGCCCTAGAAGTCTGCATTTTAACAAGCTTCCCAGATGATTCCTACGCATGTTCAAGTTTGAGAAGAACTTCTTCACACTTCTTTTTTTGTCCTTACTAAAACCCTATGATGTTGCATACCTAGCAATAATGCTTTTTTATTAATTCAATGATTTATAATCACCTCCATCTCTTATTTACCTAGTATAGTTATAGAAGGGAGAGGAGAGGGGCGCCTGGGTGGCTCAGTCGTTAAGCGTCTGCCTTCGGCTCAGGTC